GAAAGGTCACAGAGTTTAAATTCTTGCCTCATGGGTGAATCCTCAACAACTCCAATACTTGGTTCCTTCCTTCTCCTAAAGCCAGCCCCTTAAACAAGGCAGAGGCTGAGCTCAGTGCCAGTGTAACGGCCAACAGAGCATGGGCCTGAGGTACTGGTGAAGCCCTGGCCAGGCAAAGAACTGCAATATACTCTCCAGAGAAGGAGGGTTGGGCTAAAAAGGTGAGGGCAGCACTGTGTGGACAATGGCACCCTCACCATTCAGCAGGCTGCCTTAGTTTAAACAATAATGTGCAAGGACTATGTGTGTTTATTCAACCACATTATTCAACTAAACAGGAAAAAGAAAACGATGAAAAAATTGACCAGAGAGTGTTCCAAATACTTTCTTTCTTGGAGCTCTCCAAACTTCTAGTCAGGTCTGAGAGTGTACATTCATTCACTGTGTGGTGACCCTCTACCCCCTTAAAAAATTTCTTAAAGGCTAATTAATAGCAAAGACAAAGTCAAAAGAACTTCTCATTCTTGATGACAGCTGAAGAGGAAATGGCTTATCTGGAAAGCTAGCCTTAATTTTGGAGGTAATTAAAATATAAAGGTTCTTTAAAAAAATACCAACACCAAGGTCCAAGCCATCCTTTCCCATAAGAAATCTAGCTCTTTGGCAAAAAGGGCCATAAACGCCTCCTTGTGGCCATGAGAGGGAATGCCGTGTACTGCCTGTGTCGAGAACAGTGCAGGTCCTTGGACAGGAAATGAATGAGAGGCTGAATGATTTATTTAGAACCCTAGAGCCTGGTCTGGACAAATAGCTGGCTTCTGCCTCCCAGAGTAACAGTCTTTACAAGCCAGAAGTGGCTGACATTTAAAAGCAAGGCCACATTAAAGCATCAGGTCCTAAAAGAAGTAGATTGGCATCCTAACCAAACACTTTCAACAGGACACACCTGCCATGCTTCAGAACATTTGTATTACAGCATCGATTCTGTCCCCCAAGTCAAAGACCAAATATGTGACCTATGGAAGACTGAGTGGCATGTATTCAAGGTGCTCTCACCCCCAGGAAAGGCATGAAACAAAAGCTCTGGACAATCTTAACATCCTGCTGGGAGATTCTCGAACTCCATGAGGCAAATGTTAAAAACAGGACATCCTAGGACTGGGAGACAACCAAACCATCATTATATATATATATGTGTGTACGTGGATGTGTATGTGTTTGAAACAAATGAGACATTATACACTTCAGCCCTGTCAGCTCTTCAGCACCACTCAAGAAGAGCTGGTCAAGAGCTAAAAGCTGAAGAATGTTGGGCTTCAGACTGCCTATCCAAGTATGGAAAACCAATGTATTTCAAGGTAGTTCTAATCCCAGCAGCACTCAAGCAGACATCTCAGGTTTCAGACTCAACAGGATGGATGTTTCCAAATATCTATGAAAAGTTGGCACGCCTAGGATCTAGCTGCTTAAGCACTCCCCTGCTGATGTGCCACCATGGCTAGCTCTTAGCCAGCATTCTTCTCTACTACATCATACACTTTGTAGAACTCCCAAGCCATGTTACACTAGGACAAAGACCTGACCGTCATCAGTCCGTCCTTAGAAGATCTGCCAACACTGGCACTATCACCCAGTATCTTCTTTAGGGGGGTCTCTGACCCACTAACTTATCAACTACATGTTCTCAGAGTTGCTGTATCATAGTATCAAATATCCCCACTGTTATTAAAACAGGTTATTAAACTTGCTCTCAACAGCGTACAAGATCAGATGTTGTTAGTTATGGAACCAACTTCACTTAACATTAAACATGACCTGAGACCAGAAAGGGTTCTAAGAAAGTGGGTCGAGGATGCAATTTCAATGTCAACAGTATCCTTGCACTTCGCCAGCTTCTTCAAAATGCCACTAACATAAATGGCTAGGGGGTTAGCCACAGATCTAAGTTCAATGAGACTAATTAGGCTATGTGACATGTCAGCACTTTTCTCTCTTTTGAATGCAGCCCACAGTCTGAGCATTCTAGGCCTATTCCAAAGGTCTTCAATAGTGTTATTAGCTAATCAGGCAATACATATGTCAGACACAGTAGATGAGTCAGCAGCCTACAAGGAAAGGATCGTGGAAAGACTACTGACACCTTCTCAGTCCAGAATAAGCCTAGAGCAGTTTTACAATTCTTGCTGTACACGTGAAAGAGCAAATACACTAAGGGAAGTCACTTGGGGGATTAAAACAGGAGGAGTATCAATGCCATTTGTTCCCGAACATTTTACATTCAAGTTGGCTTCAACATCCACATCAGAAGATTTTTCAAACTCAATTCTATTCATTCTTGATCAACCTCTAAATCACGTGCACATAAGGAGAACAGGCAAGAGATCACACACTACCTGTGATCAAACACATACGTCAAAATCAAAAAAAGGGTGAAATAATGGGGTTGAGTCAGACAAGAGCAGCAAGCATGGCCTGCTTCAGTGCCACGGACATAGCAATGTGGCAAGGATGGGAGGCACGCTTCAAGAGCAAACCTGGTAAAGTGTTTCATATGGAGGCTGGTGAGAGAAGTTCTGAAAGCACATACATTCCCTTAGGGAACATGGGCAGCTGTGGTCAAAGCAAGCTCACCTTCCCTCTCCCAACCAATTACCAAGTACAGGGGAACCAGCACCAGGGGCAGAGGAGCACATCTAGGGAAGCCTGCTAAAGACAGCCATTTAATACACAGACCTCTCTTTGGAAAGGCCTGGACCTCTAGACTTGACAGGCAGCCTCATGCTGATTTAGGAGCCTAACCAACCATATGCTCTGAAACAAAAATCTACGCCTTAAAAGAAGAGAGACTTCCAACCCCACCTCCCTCTAGCCCAACTGGAAAATATGTGCTCACGCAAAAACATTTTAAAAATAACTAACCGGTTGTTTTATAAATTCAGTGTTCTATAAATGGGGAAAACACTGCCAGCTTCTCTGAGCCAAAAGTAGCCTATTCTTTCCCAACAAGACATTTAAAATCAAGAAAGGTTTGAATACAGACAAGCTCCAACTAGCTTCCACATGATTTAAAATGGAAGTATAATCCTAGTTTTAACTCCTCCAAAATCAAAAGGCTTCAATGGGAGAGTTCCTACACCCTCCCACAGAACCTGGGACAGCTTAGGAATCACTCACAATGATACCAGGCCCCTGGATCCAGAGCCATGGCCTCTGCCACTTACTGGGATGGTAGTTGAGTTACTCACCAGCTCCAGTTCTCAGTTTCCTCATCCGAGAAACAAAAGGCTGGCCCACAGAACCTCTAAGACTCCTCTCCCTTCTAAAATCCTATCCTCTAGAGGAAGCTGATAGAAAGTAGAAAGAACACTGGGTCTGGAGTCAGGAGGAGCTGAGTCAAACCCCAGCCGCAGAGAAGTACTGTGTGACCCTGGTCAAGTCACTTAACCTGTCTGCCACAGAATCCTCAACTGCATAACAGTGATCATAATCACCCGCCTCACAGGGCGGCTGGGAAGGTTAAATGAAAGAATGGTAAAAAGCACTTAGCAGAGTTTCTTGGCAGACAGTAGGTGCTTTATAGATGAGTGCTCTCTCTATGACAAAAACAGCAAGCACTGCTTTCTGTTTTAGATATGAACAGCTATCCTTTAACAAGTGCTGCAAACACAGGAAATTAAGCCCTAATGTCAGGCAGCATGGCGGGGGGGGGACGGGGGGGCAGCCTTGGAGAGTGAGGATGGCTTCTCTGAGATCCTTCCCTCCTAACGACAGGACACCACAGGCACAGGCTGTAACAATGAGGTCAGGGCGGCTTTCCCTTGACCCTAATAAAAAACCTTTTCCCTAGAGGAAGGGAGAGGGAGCAATAGATATAGTTACCTATATGTATGTACATATATAGAGAGAGAAGGCTCTAGACAGATAAAACCTCAGCACTGGAAAAACAGCCTGTCGAACACAGAGCTGGTCTTGGAGAAGGGAAGACCTAGGGCGTCCCACAGAGTGCTTGAAAACAAAACGAGAGCCTTTCCAACCCTAATGGAACCCAAAGCATTCTTACTGGAACACTAGTTTTAAGAAGAAGGTCACATTAGGAACCCAACTTCCACTGCCAGTAAGAAAATATAGTGAGGATGAGAGTTGACTCTCTAGATTACAATGTTCAATCAGCATCAATTTACCCCTCAACAAATGACCAGTACTCGACTGTCAACAGAGTACACTGACAACGAGCATGTATTCCTACTTTCTGACAACTTCAAATCAATCACAGGTAGCCCCCTGAAACAAGAAACAAGACTGACCCTTTTCACTTCTGAATATTCTCTGTGTGTGTGTGTGTGTGTGTGTGTGTGTTGTGTACACACCAAATGAATCTTGGTTGGGATTTGGAAATAACTCCAGAATTGTGCAGAATTGATGCTGCTAAAAAACCCAACACTGTACACAAGTTAGGGGAAAGGGTGGAGAATTCTTCTTGACTCTTACAAAACGTTTTGGAGCAAGAGTGTCAAAGAGATGAATCATAACTCTTCTTTTACTCACTAATCACAAGCCTCTTGCCAATTTAATCAGCAAGAAAACCCAAGCTGAGGCCTTATCTTCCTGGGATCTGAAGCACTTTGCTCTTGTGCTGTATGGAGCCCTACCTCACCATCAGACCCCTAAGGTTAGGTTCCTGTTTGCAGACACGGGAGGGGCCGTGGGACTTGGATGAAAGGGTCAATCAGAACACCAGTACCCAAGTTCAAGTTTGGATGGCAACTCAGGAAGACAGCCCTTTAGTCTGCTAAGTGATCTGTCTTCTGAGTGGAGGTAATGAAACCCAAGTGCCTCTCTAAAGCAGTAGCCTCCAGAGAAGGCCTGAAGACTGAGCATATCCCTGCAGACCAAGGCACCATCTCAGCCAAAATGAAACAGATGCCTGACCCAAACCTCAGATGCCACACAATCTGCTGGCCTTGGAGAGCCAGTCCAACACAAAGCCAGCCAGATTTAAATCCGTCCACAGTCCCAGCCTCCTGGTAGCTTTTTATTGTTACCAACATCCAGGACATTTCCTTCGATGTCACTTCACAGCGATTCCCTGCATCTAAACAAACAAAACAAAAAAATCCAGCCCAGGGTTGACTCACTGAAATTGTCTTAAAAAAAAATTCGTGCTAGTGTCATTGATTTTTCCCCTGAATTAGTAAAAAAAAAAGTTCTAAAAGGCAAGCTGCTTTACATCTGACTGACCAGCTGTGCCAGGAATTTGTTTGTGGCTAACTAGCAACAAGCCTGAAAATTTGGTTGCGTAAATACGTACAGAGCTGGTTCATTAAGTCCCTGTTCTGGCCCTCAACCCAATGCATCTCTACCACTGCGTCATCGTTTGCCTCCTTCCTGACATTTATTAAACACTTAAACAGATAATGTCCAGGAGCCCCTTGAGAATTCTTCTCTCTTTCAGCCACTGTATTGGCAACTTCTTCAAGAGAATCTAGCTCCTCAGTGGCACAGAAAGAGCCCCTAACACTTTCTAAAACCTCTGTCCTTCCCTTTTTCTCAGGCCCTTCCTCCTCCATTGGGTCTTGGCTATTATCTGGGTGGTGACTTTCAGACACAGCTGGTTCGGCTCCATACATGGCAGGCCTGGAGGGGGAGCTCTCATCAGGGCACTTGGTGCAATCTGGGTTAATTTCCATCTCTTTGGGAACAGGTTTCTCCTCTTCCATAGCTTGAATGAAGTCTTCGGAGGCTCGAGGAACTTCTCTCAATTGCCTTACTCTGTCTCTTTTCTTCCTCCTTAAATGAACCCAAGAGTTTTCTATGGCTGTTAGGAATAGACTGAATTCTTCTTTTCCACAGGGCACGCGTTTATGCTGGACCTATTTGGAGGAAAAAACAAGATTTCACAGACATCAACTCTGCATCCCCGCTTGATGCCCCCAAAACAGATCAGGAAAAACATCTTCATCTCCTAAATCAGGTACCTTCAGATCAGTGAGGATTTTTTCAAGCCATGTTGTAATAACTGCTATGCCTTCCACAGTCTCGGAGCCCACAGCAGAAGCTTTGAGGAATAATTCTTTGATGTTGGCTGCTAATACTACAAATGTAATGGGCTTCCTAGGCTTTTCTAGTTTTCTTCTCTTAGATGGAGGTGACTGAAAGTAAAAAAGAGGGGTAGGATGGGATTAGTAGGTAAAAATCATCCAAAATATCCATCCATCCACCTACACACACACACACACACACTCTCTCTCTCTCTCTCTCTCACACCCCACAATGAAATTTCATTAACACCTTAAGTGACAGAAAATAATTCAGTAAGCTATAGGTAATTTCCTTATCTGCTATGGCCAAAGTAGGCTCATACCATTCCACACAATTCAGTAGATTTGAACAGAAGCATCTGTTAAAGATATGTGCCAGACAATGACATCCCTATATCTAGAATTGGGGATAACAAAGAAAAATAAACAGTCCTTGCTCCTTAAGGAGTGAGGGGGGAGGGGGAGAGACTAGGTACAGAGTAGTAAATATAAAATATATATGAAGTCATTTCAAGAGTAGGAAAGGAAGAGCACTATTGGCCGGGGGGAGGCGGAAGGGAGGGGAGGAAGAAAGTCTCATGCAAGAGATGGGGCTTCATTTCAGGAAAGAACAAGAGCCCCGGGGACACAAAGAGCCCTTTTCTTAAGGAACTGCACACACCCAGATCATCAATTTCTAATTTGTGTTTCAATGTTAGCAGAAGCTTGGAATGAGCCAGAGATTTCCAGGGTTTGTCTATCAATACCAATGAGAGCCACAGGTATCATATGCTGAATCCTGCTGGATATCAGTAACAAGCTGATGAGCTGCACACAGATACTATCCTTCATGGAACCAATGGATTCTTCATCTCTCAAAATCTCCCTGAAAATGCTGACCTTGGAAATTGGTTTTACCCAGATTAAGCTTGTCAGTCTGTCATCCCTTTCCTTCCTCCTCCTCAAGCAGGGAATCTAAATCTTTCCTGGCCATACCCACTAGGGGGACTCAAACTCCACATTCGAGTTCAATTACGTCATCACATTTTTTTTTTCTCTTAAAAATGAAATGAAAGCATCTCCCTAGACTGGTCTTACACAGAAGCAATATTTTAAAAACACATCTTATGGCTATTTAGCTCCAAAAAGAAGACATCTTACTATATTCAGAAGTGATCAGACTTAAAACTCAAACAATATAAAGATGAAGACAAGAATGAAGACATTAGAGACTGAGCAGAGACCGAGCAGAGACCGAGCACAAAGACCAGAAGGTCAAACGGTTTTGAAACGCTGTGATTCCAAAAGGAACCAATGCTATTTTCAGACAAGCCTAGACCCACACTTCACAGAGGAGGAAACAGAACAAAAGGAACCAATGACTTGTTGAAGGTCCCCAGGGGTGTTACAAGCAAAATCACTCTTACTAGCTCAGAACTGTTTTAGGCAGAAAACAGAAAGTATCACCCACTCTGAGGCTGCGAGTTTCTTACTCCAATACAGACACATGGGGAAAGCCATTATATTTCTATACTAAGGAATTTTCAATGTAACAACTTCCAACAACTCCTCAATGTTCCTCTTTAAGTTAGCAAGCAGATTAAATAAAAGATCATTACATAAAGAAATGCTTTAAAACAACAACAACAACAACTCGATTTGATTGAGTTTACCAGAAAGGGATGGAAACAGAGGAAACAAGCCAATCAAAAGCACTCAGGGGAAACGACAAACAGTGGATTCTGGGCTGTGCCCAAGCCTAGGCTTGTCTGGCTAATATTTTCAGACAAGATCGGGCCAATTCAGGTTTGACATTAAGATTCAGGTGGTAGAATAATGACTTAATAACACAGCAAGAGAAAAAGTAACCACTTATGAGTGTGCCTGCAGCTTTCAAGTATCTCCTGGCCAAGAACATAAAAATCCAAGTATTAAACTAGTTACAACGTATTTGAAGCTGTAAAAAATAGGTAACAGAATCAAGTTCCATATTTCAACTTTAAACATTAGAGAAAGAGAGAGAGAGAGGATGTGTGTGTATGTGCACATACATACACACATGCACTAAGCCCTGTGATACAACAAAGACCTTATGGAAGGAATTACTACCCATGGGGCACTTCTGTGATTCATTTTGGTTCTTTCAAGTGCCTGACCAGAGTACGGCTAAACACGGAGATACAACATAGCAGCAGTGTGGCTTCCTGAAGTTACTCCACTAGTACTGATAGGTCCTGACCCATTTGACTCGAATACTTTTTGTATCTGAGAGAAGTAGGATTTCCCAAAGAAACACCCCCCTCCCCCCACCACCACACTCCCCACCCCGACCCGCCCAATTCTAAAGATGGATGGAGAGAAAAAGGGAAGCACTCTAAAACCTTGCTAATTTAGTCTTCCTGTTTCTACCGACTTTTACAAAGCCTAAGGGAAGTAAGATCCAACAAGAGAGAAACATTAAACTACTGATCTAGGTTTAAATAATAGAACTTCCCTGTCCCAAATGGGGCTACTTTATCCAGTACTCCAATTCTAATCTCCCCTACACAAAGCTCTGCCCTAGCGTATTATGTCATCAGAAATGTCAGATTTGCTGACAGCTGCTCATTCATTAAAAAAGAAAAAATATTTTAAATCAAGTTTTATGCCAAAAGGCTGACAACTTCATTCTTTCATAAATTTCCAAGCAAGATTTTAATGATTATAAACTTCAACATCCCCCCCCCCCATCCTGATGTGGACTCTGACATACTGAAAATCCTTATTTTACTCAGCAGGGTCACATTAAAATGCAATAAAGAGCAAGAGCAGGTCTTAAGACACCACCACTTAGATCCCTTCTATTAGCATCGTTTCATACCTCTTCACAAGTGTTCAATGAATGGGAAATCTTATGGATGGCTTTGTCTCTCCACTCACAATTAAAATGGAACTTATTTTGCTAACACTAAGATCTAAAGTCATCATCATAGAGATCTGTTTCAAGTCCTCAAACAGCAACAATCTAGTTTAGCAGGCAAGGTGCACTTAAATAATTCAACATCTTAAAGTCTAAAAATCAATGCTTCACACTGGGTAATCCAGCTTAACACAAAGGACCAGAGCCCACTTTACAACTCATGTCAGATTAAGAAAGTCCCCTCCCCATAATACCGTGCAACTGAAATTACAGTATGAAATCAGTCCCTTGGGTCATTTGCCCTCTAAAAAGGATGCCTATTTCTGTCAAAAACTGCATGGATTCAGTGGTTTACACAATAATTTTATTTGCTATTTGGTGACCCGTTCAGAACACAAAAAATGGGAGGAGTATTACAATAAGTTAAAATGACAATTATTTGCTCAAATAATTTACTTAAAACCTACCAATTTTAATTTTTAAGATTTAAGAATTTTAAGATTCCTTATACTCCCACTTTTGCCATCACTTATAGATTTAACAATATCTGTGAATGAGGCCTTAAGTGAGATGCACCATAGCTAACAGACTGTGACACACAGCCCTGGCCTGTTAGTTATAATCAACAGCAAATCCCAAGAAAACCAGGACAAAATTAAGTGCTCTGATTTTAAAAGAGGGAGACAGAAGCAGAGGGGAGAAAAGGAGAGTGAGAGAGGGACAGGGGGAATGGAAAGGGGACGAAAGAAGAAAAGAGGGAGGGGAAGAAGGTAAGGTGGAGAAGGCTACTTGAGAAGACTCCTAAGAATGAAGACTCTGTGCCCAGGTTCTGGCAGACAAGAGTTGGCAGAAGCAGGAGACTGGCTCAGGAAAAGGTCAGCTAAGAAGGCATGAGTAGCAAGGAGCCCGGCACAGCCTCAATGTCTCTGAAGTTGTTACAGAGGTAAGAATAGAAAAAGTCATCTTGGCAACACAGCACGTTCTCTGCCACTCTTTACAGAAACTGAATTTGGACGATCTTCCTTGGGAGGACAAAAAAGACCAGAGTAAACACAAGCACTTCACGGGCAAGACTGGAACATCTGGGTGGACACAGCTGGTACATTTTATCGAAAAGTCCTACTTGATTCACTCAAATTTTATTGAGTGCCTACTATGTGTATATGCACTTAGTAAGGTACAGTGTATGAACTTAATGGAGCTGAAAGAAATCTGAGTCAGTACTCGAAAGGCAGCCAAGCAGAAAGTGAAAGTGCATACTGACTGAAGAAAGCTAGATACCGATTTTTTTTTCTTTAAAAGAAACACGCCAGAATTTATATAACCCAATGCACACTGGTCCCTTCAAAGCAATCACTGTGCAGCCATCCCTTAGTTCAAGTCTGAACCAATTTAAACAGTTTAAGTAAGTCACAGGAGGAACTAAGCTCAATAGTCCATGGTCACACCTTCCTTTTTAGAAGACTACAACCCAGTTTCTGAACTCAAGTCCAAATCCCCATCATGGAACAGAGGCGGACCAGGGTTCTCTTCAAAGACAGCTGAAAAGTCTTGGAGCACAGTCCTGGAAGCCAAGTGTCATTTGAGAACCAGGAGAAATTAGCCAGCAGGGGAAGAATTTGTTTTTAACTCACTGTAACTAATGATGCTACATATTCACTAAATCAAGAAGGGACAGTGATCACTATCAGCGGAGGGAAAACCATCAGAGATAAAAATCGCAGCTCTTTCTCAGCTGGGGTATAACTATGACCCAACTTGGTTATTTACTTTTTTCACCAAACAGGGCTCTGAATGACTTATGGGCTGCTCCAAAACTGACCTTCAAAGACTTAAAATTTGTCCTCATGAGGTTATATTCTGAAGGGATTCCCAAAGAGAAATTCCAAAGAAGTTCTGAGAAAAAGGACAATATTTAAAAGGATCACAGACATTGGGATGTATTTCTGGCCTCAGTAGTAAGGGAAAAATTAAATTCGATGTCCAAATTTAAACTGAATTCTTCTCAAGATGCTTGGGAAGTATCAAACACATAGTAGGCACTTAATAACATCTTTCTGACCTAGTCTGCTCTTGTTTTGATCTTTCATTGTCTTGTTTACACTAATGTGGGTTACAAAATTAAACACAAATGCTTTTTTTGATGTGGGCAGGGGAAAAATCCTTAACATAAAAAAAACCCCACCACCCTTGGCTGCAGAAGGTCAGGTATGTTAAAAACTCAAGTCTCTTG